GTGCGTTGATGTGTGGCTACAGTCGTCGCGTGTAAGACCGACATGGTATTTTCACTGTTTGAAATGCTCAAGAACGAAGGACACCGCGCAGATGGTATCACCTTCCTCGCACTTCTCACTGCTTGCAGTCACGCTGGTCTTGTAGAACGAGGAAAGAGGTACTTCCAGGAGATCCTCTCTTCACAGGAGACCAAGCCTTTAGCTCAGCACTACGACTGCATGGTCGATCTTCTAGGCCGGGCAAATTATCTTGACGAAGCAGTACTGCTGGTGAAGTCCATGCCTTATAAGCCGAACGTGGTAACTTGGAACGCTGTCCTGGGAGCCTGTCGGAAGTGGAAAAATGTGGAGCTTGGGAGGCTGGCATTCAATACACTGGTGGAGCTCAACGAGAAGCAAGCGTCCACTTATCTCACCATGGCAAGCATCTACGGAAGCGTTGGTATGTGGGAAGAGCAAGCCAAAATCTTGTCCATGAAGCGGCTCGCGAGGCCTTGGAAGGAGCCTGGTGTGAGCTGCTGGACGGATCATCATGGTGTGGTACACAGGTTCAGAGCTGGAGATTGCTCGCACGCTCAAAGTGAAGCTGTTGGAATCAAGCTCAAGCAACTACTGGTTCGAATGAAGGAAGGAGGCTATGTTGCCCAGCTAAGCAGTATTTCCTGTAACGTCTCGGACTGTCAGAAAGAGGAGGCTTTGTGCGAGCACAGCGAGAGGCTAGCCATTGCTTGTGCACTCATCAATACCGCTCCAGGTGCAGTCATTCGGATCGTAAAGAACTTGAGAGTTTGTGACGACTGCCACCAAGCGACTGCTGTTATCTCGGCGATCGAGCGGAGACGTATCATCTGCAGGGACTCGAGTCGCTTCCACGTCTTTGAAGGTGGGAAGTGCAGTTGTGGGGACTTTTGGTGATCCTTGTTATCTACGTCCGTGGAGTAATACGAGGAGGTGGCGATCAAAGCCATCGCTTTCCAAGGTATTTTGTGACGTCTCTGGCTTTTAGTTTCTCACTTTTGGATCCATGGCAGGCATTGAAATTGAGGTTTGCAAGACCAAGTACATGGTAAAGCTAGAAAGTTTCCCAGGGAAAACTAAGGGGAACAATTTCCTTCTTCATGAAGAGTCCGCAAGTTCTCGTAAGTTTTTTTTGGTTGCATGGCTCCTTGGTAATAATGTGTCGATTGGAGGCTTCAGTTGCGAGGATTTTTTGCTGTGGAAGATGGATTTCAAGGCGTAAGCTGTTTGTATCTTTTATTTTCTAATTTTTGTTCACAGTTTATCGCTCAGCTTTCCAAAAAGTTGTTAAGTTCAATCCAGAGCGTAGCTTATGGTTCTTTGCAGGTGATGGCGTTCGTCCACTCCACTAGCTGCAAATGCTACGCATGATGGAAGCATTACCGGAGATAAGGTACACGGACGATCTTCCATAGTACGTAAGCTCTCCCGCACCGTGGCTGCTCTCGAGGTAGGCCTTGAGCGAAAAAGGATATGGTGTCTCCAGGGACTCCAAGAGATTGATTGCTCTCTCGAAATGCAGGGATGTCTTTCTGGGGAATTCTCCCCAGGCTATCCTGAGAGACCCTTCCATGTACTCTGCCGCGGCCTGTCCGAGTTTTTGGTACGCAAAAGCGCGGCTTATTTTTTTCATCTCTGTTTGGATTTCGTGCGCCTTACGGCACATCCCCGCAGGACCGACGCCTATAGGTAGGCGCAGCCTGCCGTCTTGCCGCTCTCTAATGTAATTTT